CTTTACGCGAACGAGTAAGTCGCTGGTAAAACTTGCATGCGCACGATACAAGTTTGACGCGCTCGCTCGCGAGGAAATTTAATTTTTAGCCAATCCCAAGTAATCTGCGAGAAAATGCACTAATTCGCCGCGCGGAAATTCAATGAATAAACAAAGCGTCGCTCCGCCGCAGGATGATGGAGACCCCCGAAGTGAAATTGAAACGGCCGCTCCAAACGTCCGCGCGCGGCGTTATCCGCTTCGACAGACCGCGCGCGCGCACGCACAATCCGTTACACGAGAATGCAGTGATAATAAATAAGGCGTCACCCCGCCGGCTAGAAAATAATAGTGTCGTAAATATCCCGAGTGAAACTTCGTCACGCCGGGTAGCGCGAGTTTAAGCACGCGCGAGGCTGCAGCCCCGCTTCGGTAAACCATCGCAATCTTTGGTGACATATGTGTTGCCGGAGCCGCACGTATGCACCCTCGGCGCGGGCTTCGGCAAAGATAGCGGAGAAAGAAGGTGGTGCGTGCTCGGCCTGAGATCGAGACGCGCGGTGTCGAAGAGGGTAGCGACACTTCGAAAGGCACCAGCGACATCGGGGGGGGGGAGGGGGGGGGGTGCGCGTCGCGGGTGCAGCGCGGCGGGACGGGGCAGCCTCCGTGTAACGGAGGAAGATCGCAGAGAGGACGCGGAGGCGCCTGCGCCCTCGAGAGTGCCGGAGTTCCTGCGTGCGTTTCCATCAGTCGGGTCTTCAACTCCGGACCGCGAGCACCGGCACGATTCCGCGCCGTCGTCCGCGCCGCGACGCACCCACCGCCCGACGGAACCACCCCTTCGGTCTATTGCTCGTGATCGCGCCGATATCAGTCGGAGGAGAGAGAGAGAGAGACGTAGGCTCACGTACGAAAATTCCGAGGACTTACACCGGACCTCGCCGGGGCATGTCCTGACGTCCCGCTCCACCCGTAAACAGGATCTCGTTATCTCGCTCTCGTAAGGACGAAACTAGTATCGAAAAGGAGAAATCGCGCGGCCGCGAGGAAGGTCGCGTGGAGGATCTTATATCGGGAAGCACTTGTGTGGCTCTTTATGGGCGAAACAGATGCGCCGTGCGCGCCACACGCGCGGACTTTTACGAGACGTGAACTGCGGAACGGCGAGCGAAATTTTTCTAGGAGCCGGCGGGTGGAGAGAAACGCCCGCGATGAAATCACGCGGGGTGGCAGCGCGTTTATTTAAATTTGACGCCCCCCTCGCGCAGTTGCGCGTAGGAAAGAGATTTTGGACCAGGTGTCGGAACACTTGCGCGTAAGTTGTGGAAGAGGATTGTGACGCGATCACGTTCGCGGAAGAAACGTAGTTTCGAGAGATAAACGTGCAAATGACGGCGACAAGTTCATGCCAGCCGCATGGCAATGATCACTCGCGGCTTCACGGTGCATCCGTTCGCGTTTGACAGGAAAATCCGCTTGCATACCTCGCGCGGAGAGCAGGCGGAACTTCCTCTTTGCGGGCGTAAAGTTTCGTCGAAAGCAATTCCAGCGACTTCACGGCGACTCGATACGTTGTTGAAAGAAACGATCGAAATGTCTGCCGAGAAACGCGGCTGTCAGATGCATCCGTGTCGATTCGCGTGTTCGTTTCGCGGAAAAGTCTGCCGCTATCAGCGATAGCTGTACATCTCGCCGGTCGCTAAATTAACTTGTCACTTTTCCGCGTCGCGCTAAAATACGTGCGTGCGCGCGCGTCTTCAAATGTTAAACTCGGCGGCGTCGAGCGAACTTCTCCCGCGTCAATTAGCGACGTCGAACGTGCCCGGTTGTTGAAAAAAAAATTTCAAATTACCACGATGACCCGCATTCGATCCTCGATACGGAACATCTCGTTGCGTTTCCCTGTGCAACATCAGTTGTTCGTTATAAGCCGTAATAGACGTATAGTTTCGGCAAACAAAGGCGGATGCTAGGTAAATACATCCGTTGTACAAATAAAATATAAAATTATTCCGAGCTTTTCACGCGGCGCTGCATATCCGCCCGTCGTATTTTTTCTCTATATTAACAACGTTACTAAATTAATTAACAAGCACACACACGACTGATATACGGGCCGCACGTTTCAAGTAAATTCTACCGCCGATCGTTATCTCTCGAGTTTCGAGATGCGCGCACCGCGCGGATAGTTATCTCGGGCTCCTTCGCAAAAAAGAAAGAAAGAAAGAAAAAAAAAGAAAAGCCGCACGGAGAAGATCCGCGAAAATCGCCGCATTAAAGAGCGCGCGTAGTACACGAGCGTGTGCCGCTGTTGAAAAGACACGATCGTTAATGCCGTTAGCGTTAATTAATCATCGGCACGCAGATAAATACCGTGTATCACGGCGGTAACCAGGCGTGAGCGGGCGGCCGCGTCTGCCGATAATTATGAACAAGCTAACTCATTAGTCGCAATCGACGTTAACGGCCTCGTTGTTGCGAGCCATCGCCTCTTCCCCCCTTCCCTCCCCCCCCCTCTTTCCATTCCCCGCCCCGCGCCCCGTCCGGTCTTCTATAAACTGTCGAATTACTAACCGCGCCCGCGTTAAGAAGATTACGCCGGGCCGGTGTGACGGGCACAATGAGATTACGTGTCAGAAAGAAAGCACGGTTGCAGATGATTACGGGGGGAATTATCGTCGTGACGTCCGATGTTACGATAACTCGAAATGTTGCGACGGTAATGCCCCACGGGAACAACAGTGACGAACGGATTAGAGTCATCAATTATGCCCGATGCCGCGCACCGACTTGATCGCCTTTCCGTAATCCGACGCGATGCCAAACCAATCTGGTCTCTATTAATTTTGACGAGAGTAAGACATTAATGGTGGCGATAATCATATTATTGCTAGAGGGGAGGGGTGGGGGGGAAGACCGAAATTTCTACTCGCCTCGCCCGAGGCTCCGAGCGGCGCTAATTTGTCCCGATGCATCGCGGCAACAAAAGTCAATTGTTAATGCGAATATTAATCTTTAACCGCGCCCTATCGACGCCGCCGTCCGTTTACTCGGGCGCGACGCAAATTTTTAAGTGCAACTCGAGCGAGCTTGCGATTTCTGAAAACGAGACAACAGAGGTCTACGCAGAGGTTCGCGACAATTGAAATTCAGCTGACGCGCGAACCGGCTAACTCGCCGATCCTAGAGTAACCTTCGTCGAAGATCCCTCCACGCGATCATTCTTCGCAAGCCGGGCCGCGTGTTAGAAAAATCTACCTCTTACAGGTCAGCGGAAGCTAGGAAATATCCGGGTCGAATAGCACGCCGATCCATTTCCGGGTGACATCGAAGTCGTTGGCCGCGGCACCACGGGAGACCCATCCGCCGCATTTCAAGTGCGTAATTAATCGCGGGACTTAATCGAGTGCTGAATTAATCGCGACGGATTTACGGGCCGCGTTGTGTGACAGTGACATTCGCCGCGCGGTTATGAAACGCCGTCGCCGATGCAAGTGATTTAGTAACAGCGAGGAGGAGAAAGGACCGCTTCTCTCTCTCTCGAGAGAGAGAGATAGAGAGAGAGAGAGAGAGAGAGAGAGAGAGGAAATCGTGTGTCGCGAGGTTCCCGGAAGATGGATCGCGTATCAGAAAACACGCCGGAACACTGATCCCCGACCGCGGGAATAAAGAAGAAAACGGAAAAGGGATTTTCGCGCTCGGGTAGTACGACAACTTCGCCCCACCGCCCTAATTAATCTCCGGGACGTAACGAGCGGACCACCTGTGAAATCCTTCGCAGCAACAACACCCCCCGAGGAGGCGCCGTTCCTGTGAAACTCTCAGCTGCAGGTGCCATACAAGCTGTGAGTATAGCGCGAGCTCGGCAAGACGGTGAAAGACGTGGCAAAATTCGACATTCGAGATGCCGCCTTAATTAACAGAGCTTCAGCTAACTGGAGTTCAATTTTCTTAAATACACCCGTTGCGGGTAGCGCGATCAAAGCGCGTCGAGCACGAGGCCCGGAGTTGGTGCCGGCGTAAATTAAAGACCATCGACATCGATAACCTCGCTTAAGTGGTTTCAACCAGCGGCACTTTACACTGGTGAGGATCGCGGAAGGTGGGCGACGTGTCTTCGATTACCGACCGGCTTTAGATCTCTCGAGCGCTGGCGAAGAAGTCGATAAGGACGGTACTCGGTAAGGGGGGTTCAATCCTTAAGGGCGGATAGAGAGACGACGCAAGGACGGGGGAAACCTCTGAAAGCCTGTCTCCCTGATCAAACTATCGAAGCAAATCCCTGAGGCGACTCGATGCTTCGAAAGTCATCTTTGCCTTTGAAGAATTTGCAGCGGGCGAGGTCGAAGTGAGAAAAGCATAAGAAGTACGTTTTACAAACAATATAGTTCGATCGAAGAGTAGCTCGTCGAGCAATTGATTTCTCGATCGACCGGGTGAGTGCCGGGGCGCAAAGAATTAACGCGGAGATATTCGACGAGCGAGCGGCACTGTAGGCAAACGGCGCGTTTCAACAGGACGACAGATTAATTTCGAGAGTGGCCGAGAGAATTTGGAGCTACGGCAGGGGTTGTGCGAATCGGTTAAAGAGCGCCGCGCTCAAAAACCGACGACCGCGTTAAAGACGGTCGGCTTGGTGACGCGGGGATATTAAATGGTGGGACGAGTGGCGTACGAGTTGGACAAAGAAAGCATTTCAGTCGGAGGACAAGAAGCCGGAAGACGAAAGGAATAAGAAGCGGCTGCATCGGACGGAATGTATGGCGATGAGACCGGAAGGTTAATCTGAAAGGTTGGATAGAACGAAAGCAGAGAGGGCCCGAAGTAGCTATCGCGACAGCGGAAAAAGTGGACCTTCTCGAGCCCGCTGGGTGTGAGAAATTGGGGTGGGCTCGAGGATGTGTGAAGACGAATGCGCCGAAGATAAGAAGAGCCGGTTGGAGAGGAAGGCGAGCACTGATCTTTGAACTTTGTTATCCTAGCGAGAAAAGGGAAGAAGTGCGTCCACGTGTGCGGTGATAAAATCGAGTGCGTGGTCCCGGCCGATCTTATCAGTGAAAAACATTGGTCCCTCCCGAATCCCGAAAAGCTCGTTATTAAGATCTTACAGAATAGAGTCCGAGAGTCTTTGGAGAAGTTCCGAGAGATCAAGACAAGAGAAGAATGCGTTTTAAGATCATCATCGGTTAAAAGAATGCGCGGTCACGCTAAATAATCCGATCGGTAAAGTTAACTAGACGCGCAATTCGAGACGAAGGATCCACGATCCCGTTACATCCCGGCCATCCTGCAACCCGGTTGAAGGAAGTGCTGCGGGTGAGCCGGTGGGCTAACGGTGATGGCATGAGGACATTAGTAAAGACGCGTAGCGGGTCCAGCGAGGAGGAGGATGAGGATGGTGGTGGGCGTGATGGTCCTTGGTCAGCTACTGACGAGGATCTTGCTCGCGGCCCACGCAGGAGATCGCCTCGCGGCAGCTCGAAGAATTCTAAGGGACGTGCCACTGATAGATGGGTAAGTTACGTCCCGTAATACAAGCTCGATACCTCACAACGAAGTAATTAAACATCGTATAACTTTCCGTCTTAATGTTCCGTGGGTTTTTTAAATTAATTTTACCTGCGCAAAGGAATATACGACTACTTGAGCGGGGCTACCAACGTCTTTCGTTACGATAAGATTGCACTATCTATAATTAATACTTAATCTAACAGCGAGAAAAGAATGGGAGCCCCAAATAAATTTCTTTTTATAATTCGCATTATCGTTCTAATTTATCTCTAATCTGTAATCGTGAACTTGTGGACGGCAGACCTGTGAATTGTGTGTATTTTACACCCGCGGGCATTTCCGCTCCGCAGTATTTCACAAAGCAGTTACAAGCGGAAAATATACGCGCCAAACTAGCTAGTATAATTTGCGCTCGCGAGGAAAATGGAGAGGGGAACTCGCGCACGAAAATCTGCGGGGCCGCAGCTCTCAAGTGTCAAAAAGCTGTTTCAATTAGCATTATTAATATCAGTCACGGGACAATGCGTACCCGTTAATGACGTGTACGGATTCGAGGTATCAAAGCGTTTTGTTGCGCTCGCGGCAAAAATCCTTGGCGCCGGATGCAAAAACGAAACAGCCGAATTCTGCTTCCAAATGAAACAAAAGTCCTCGTGGAAACTTTCGCGATGCAATTCGCGAAAGCCGCTGGTAGAATGCCGTCTCGCCCTTTCTCGCATATTTCGCTCCCCTTTGTCACGTTGACGAGCGGCGAAAAACGCTGCGTCGAAAATTCAACGAATAACTTGAATCCCATCGTATAATCGTTAGCCCAGGTACCGCGAGACACGAATTTACAGCCGGCGAGAACAATGTCGTCGTAACGACGCGCATGGTCGACTTTGTATAGCCGGGCGTGACTCTAATTACACCGGGAATTAAACTTCAAAGGAACGTCCGTCGTGTCCGATTTGCTACGATGCGTTGCATCCGTCCGTGCTTTCACTACCGACAATTTCATTAAGCAAGCGTTCTATTAGCCGATCTTATTAGTCGAGCCACAGGTCATACTCGGCCACATTCAGCGACAACAAAATAATTCTGGATAATCAAGCGAAGCACACACGCGGGGTGCGTCAAAAAAGTTCAAAGTTAGAGAACATACGATTAATACCAGAATAATCAAGTTTGTTAAGTAATTTATGTAGACGTATTCTATAAGTGGAAAGTAATCATTTGTTTAACATCAAGATTTTAATCGGCCATAACTGTGTACAGCCGACAACTCGTATCGGTGTGCAGTTCTAGTTGAAAAATAAACGCGAAGATGTCATTAAGTGCTGCTTATTGCGATAAATATTACGACATGCCTCAGTGGTCGAATTGGTGAGACGCCCCGCCTAGAGAGTAGGCAAGTCCAGGTTCAAACCCTGGCTGAGGTAATATTTTTCGCAATAAATTTTCTGTGTTAAAAACACGTTGCCAGTTATGGTCGATTAAAAGCTTAATTATTGTTAATAATTTATTATTGCGAAACATTAACGTAATAAAATTTCAAGTTTCAATCGACCTCAGACTGGCCACTTTTATTAAATACGCTTTCGCAACGTTTCGACCTTCGGTTTAAGTCCTTATCAAGCGAGATCTAAGAGGAAATATTTTACACACAGATTACGTGAAAAGTATAAAAGAATTCGCAGTATGGCAGAATAATTGTCGGTCTACCTTGTTACGGAGTTTTGTTAAATAAAAGTAAAACCACATTTTGGCGGAATGGAGTTCAGTATTAAGAGTATAATTTCACTAACGTCCGGAGTCGAGGGATGTAAGACCAAGACTGAAATATACTATTAACGTAATACTCATGTCTCGACGATTACATCGTATAATTATACGAGTAATACGTAAAATGTCACGCCGTGCTGTGATTTCTTCTCGTAATTTTTCAACGATTAATCGTCGAATATTTAATGTTCGAAACTAAAGCAATTCCACTTAATATTCTACACATCAATGGGCAGAAGGAAAATGCGCGGTAATAAAGAAATGAGATCAGACTCGGGATGCAGTGGGAATTAAAAATAACCAGGCAGTACTGCGTAAATAGGATTCGCCTATCGGGGTCAATACTCGGGATCGCTTCCCCCCTCGAAACAAAAAAAAAGCAATTGAATCGTACACCCAGTCCGAGAAAGAGAGCCGCGCATTTTCGCTGAGATAATGAGAAAGTTTTGTGAGCGCGAAAAAGAAAAGACGTTAATGGAGAGGAGCGAATAAAAAAGAAACTCAGGAGAATGGGGTGGAAGGTGCACCGGCAGGGGACGCAAGGAAGATAGAACTTACTCGAGAAAGAGAGAGAGGGGGGGGGAGGGGCAGAAGGTGGATGTTGGTCCTTTGGTTTCTCGGGTTACCCCGGAGGATAGATACGAATTTCCGGTGCTCCTACTTGCTACAAACTCGTGTGTCTCTTCCATTTTCTTTCGTGTTCGCACGCACACGTGTCTATGTAAGTATTATATACTCGCGGTAAGAGTATTTGTATCGATGTATCTAATGTCCGACATCTTTTGCTACTCCGCGTAAGAATAATTCATAGGTACACAGTATCGAATTTACGCGTCGTCATGTTGCGGCGTTACGTTACTTTCAATTTACATGTCTGGGCGTTCGCGTTTTATAAATGTATTTACGTAAAGGGACAAGAATATAGAAAAAAGTACTTGGAAAAAAAACAAAAATTTGACCACTGCACCCACAGAAAAAATTTCCGGATTCAATGCTATTACACTTCAATGTATCATAAAATAGGATTCGTGCGTTGTATGATGGAAAATTTATTCTAAACGCAGAAACATATAAACTTACATTTATATAAGTTTAACTCTTGTCTCGATATAGTAAGTCAGTCTTGTTTAATTCGATAGAGGAGAATAAGAACAATTGATTTTATTTCGATACTGTCTTATTTTTCTACTAAATGAGATTGCGAGAAATATAAATGCGTCAAGAATACTTTTTGTCTCGGTAATAGAAATCTTTTCTGAGGGTGCGTATTAGAGAAATATTGTGTCGAAAAATCAGTCTCAATCAGCCTTAAGTAATAACCACTTTTCACCGGTACAAAACGTTGCGAAAACCCAAACTCCGATTCCGGCTCCTTGGCCGCCGATTCCACGAGCAAACTTGGAGAAACTCTCGAAAGTGGCTCTGATAAAGGGCATCGAGGAAGAGGCGCGGCCGAGCGATTTCCCCGATGTCGAGCCGAGGGTAGCTCGTTACCGATAACGAGTGAAAGCCCAGGGTATTGTGCGCCGAATAATAGCTCGTCCTTTTCGCCTCGGCTCGGGAAAGAAGCGCTCCGCGTGGCCCGCGGGCCACGTGTCGCTGGCACAACCGGGGAAATCGTATACGCTTGGAATTTCCAAGCGAGAGAACGCGCCGGGCTTGCGTCTCGCGCAAATAAATGACCGCAGATACGATAGGCAAATTCAGCCAATTGTACTTAAACTGCGCGATTATCTCGATTCGATTAAACGCGGTTAACGTTTAAAAAAGTCCGCAAATGGACGCGGAATGCGGGATGCGGGATGCGGGATGCAACGGCGGTAACGTGCCGTACGAGGATTGCACGGGGCAGGTCGGTTTCGCATCCATCCCCGTTCTACATTACAAATTCGCGTCGGTTTCCACGGAGTTTAAACTCTCAAGTGCCTAATGCATATTTTATGCACTCTCGATATGTGAGTCGTAATATTCGAATAATTCCCGTAAGAGACCGCCGAGGGAAAAATGATTCTTTCATCTGAAAATCCGATTAAATCCATCGGTGCGCGGGATTTTTATTTCACCGACCGCGGTCGAGGGTTTATTGATAATTAATCCAGGGCGAAACATAGTGGCAGGGAATATGGAATGCGGAGGAAAAGCGCGGTTAAAAATTACAAGAATGGCACTGCATCTTTTATCGTCTACGAGAAGCAGAAACACGTTTCTTAATCTCGCCGGCGCCGTCAAATATATTCGACCTGTAATTGAAACAGCTTAATGCGGCGTCATCGTATAATTAAACCGGCGACGAGTTTCCCCGCGACTAGGAGATCTCGGAAATACCGTCGCCGTAAACCTGATAACCGCGATGGACCAGCGGGCGTAATTACCTCGTTACATCGTCGCTGTTTATAGCTTTCGTCGTCGCGCGGAAATATTTAATTACCCACCTTCGCGATTCTCCGGCCGGACCGAATCGCTGGGATTGCGAGTTAAAAGATGGAGGTACGGTTGAACGAGGAGACTCCCAACGTCGCCGTTACACGCCCAAGGATTTTCGAGTGTTGCTAACGCGGGGGAGGGAAAAAAGATGCGGCGAGAACCAGTCTCGTGTTAGCAATGTCCTGGCTGTTTCGCTCGACCGAAACATTCTCGAGATTCCTCAGGGAGTGCCGCGGCAATGTCCCGAGTGATACTAATTACTTGCAACTAGATTCGCGTTTCTCTCTTTGCCGTGACAAACCGCTGCGCCCGTGCGATAGACAATATCGCGTTCTGCCATGTATGCGGAAAATTTCGTGCCGAAATGTGATCTATTTAATGAAAATGTTACTCGCCCTTTGCCGAGTAATGCGCTCGCAAAAGTGGAGCGCGCGTTTGTACTATAATTAGACGAGTGTGCTCGCGGAATTGGGGTAATGTCGTCGAAATAATGAAAACGCGAACCATTTCCGCCGGTCCATAACCGCCGAGGAAAATTCTGCGATATCTAGTGAAACGCTTCCTAAATTTGCCCCCTAAGTTTTGATTCGGTAGAGCGAAACGCGACAGATACCACGGCGAGCGATAAAATTGGAGAAAGAAATATCTCAAGATACTAAAAGGGTCTCTAAAAGAGTTTTGGCAAAACTTAACACTCTCCTCGAGCGTCAAATTATCCGAAATTTTCTCGCACATGCCGTAGCGTAAAGTACACGACTCCTTTTTTATTTTACGTTATTATTTTTCTTGACAGGTGAATTTCTGATTGCCTGCCC